AACCATTGATACTAATTACCGACCATTGATAATAAGTACCGACCGTTGATACTAATTACCGACCCCCCCCCCGGCCCCCGCGTGGGCCCTTCCCCATTCCCCCCTCGCACTCGATTCCCTCCCTTCCCAAACCCCCCTCTGGGACCATGGCTCAGAACTCAGTGACCGAACAATGACCAATATTTTGTGTGTTAATATTCTAATATAATGTAATTGTCTCTTAAGAAGAACGAATGAAAGGTAAGTAATAACGATAAGGAAATGATGATAATATTACTTACAATTTATACCAAAATTCGTTCAGTTGGCGGCACCCTTGTATCAATTGATTTCCCAAAATAACACCTTTCACTGCATAGAGAAACATACACAATTTCGCAATAAAATGTACTCGTGACTTATGCACGCCATATCGCGAGAAATGTAGTAATTCATATTTGTAGAATCCGATAGATAACGTTTCACGACGACGGCGACGACGATACTACCAAACGAGTGTGCAGCACATAAAAAGATGCAACGATGCATCAAGGGAAGCGAGGTGGTGCATAGTGCGGGAGAGGAATTTTTATGTCACGTGTTCTTCTGCGAAAAGTGCAACTTTTGCAAAAGCGTTTTAGATTACCTTGAACACGTCCAAACGTGCAAATTCTATGACATTACATTCACGAGACGATTCGACCGGAATCACGTGTATCATGGGAAGCGGGTGGTGCATAGTGGGGGGGGGGAGGAATTTGTTATGTCACGTGCTCTTCTTTTGCGAAAAGTGCAATGTTTGCAAATACCTTTTATATTACCATGAACACGTGCAAAAATGCAACCTCAGCAGAACGTATAACATTGACGAGCATTATGGGCGTAGGGAAAGAAATTAGATGCCTTTTTTGATGATTTAAAATATGATATATTTATTAAAGCAACAAATGATTATAAAACATTACTTTTATGGATCCATGAATTGTGCGAGTTATTGAGTCCTAGTCATTTTACGTACACACCATTCCCCTTCTTACGTAATACTTTTTCAACCAGATACACGTCGAAATTAGCAACGCGTTGTAACTCGTGTTCGTAGAATCCTCCGGCAATTGGTTTTTCATAAACATCTTTCAGCAGATACGTTGCGGGACTAGTTTTCTGTACCTCGGCGATTGTAAATATTTCAGTGCTCCAATTCGGTGTGTAACCTTTTTCAAAAATTGTCTTAAATTTGCTCACACGTACCGCATCTCCCACTTTGAATCGTGCGGGAGCGGCAATCTTTACATGATTATACACCGTTGTTAAGAGCTTAGCGGCGTTTGTTGGTGTAACGTCAATTGGTCGCATACCAATAGTTCGATGCTTTCGCGCGTTGTACTTTGATACGAGATGTTGAATCGAGTCGATCCATTTGTAATTTCCATTAAGGGTAAACATTTTCCACATGTTGTTTTTGAGCGTACGATTAAACCGCTCAACGACTGATGCTTTCATCACTGAATACGTTGAATAATGATTTATGTTGTATTTTGACAAAAGTTTTTGCACATTTGCGTTGTAAAATTCCTTTCCTTTGTCGGTCTGCAAATTTTTCGGATACCTTCCGCCGTCTCGGATTATCTTCCCGATCGCAGTAGAAACCTCAGTTCCATTCTTGGTTTTGAGGGGTATAGCCCACGCATGCTTACTCAGCACATCGATAACAGTGAGTATGTAATGGAAGCCTCTGTTATACCGCGTGTAAGGACGCATCTCGACCACGTCCGCTTGCCATAGATCGTCGTATCCATGTACTATGACGCGTCTTCGGGGAAAATGTCTTCTCGCCGGAGCATGCAATTCTTCCACAAGACGCCGTTTCTCAATACTGGGGGTTTTCTTTTTCTCAGCCATGTATGACTCGCCACTGATGCCAAGACTTGACGTACACGTCTTATTAAACATCAAATCGACCTTCAAACGCCCCCAACGTCTCGACGTCACAACTTCTCGACGTCACAACGTCCCCAACGTCCCCAACGTCCCAACGTCCCCAACGTCCCAACGTCCCCAACGTCCCCAACGTCCCAACGTCCCCCCACGTTCCAACGTCCCAACGTCCCAACGCCCCCAACGTCCCCCACGTTCCAACGTCCCAACGTCCCAACATCCAGCTATTGATGTATTTGATTTCGGAATTCGATAATACCCCTCTCCAATTGATTCAGCTGGTCTTTCAAGCTCTGAACGTAATCTTGAAATATGATCATCTTCTTGTCGAATTCATCTTGTCGATTTTTTATAATTGTCATGTTTTCTTGCAAGTACAGCTTGTTGATAGCATCGCCATCCTCTACAGGTGGTGCTACCCGTCGAATCTTGCGCGACTTTGCATCGTAATTGGCACCAGCAATACAAAGAGCATTGTCACGTACATAATTTCTGACTACTCCATTCCAGCGATAGTATGATTCCACTGTTCCAAACGATGACCCAAACTTGTTGATTGGCATTTTGATATCGATTGACAGCATCGTCAAAAGTGCAGGCTAATTTATAATGAGTTCTGCCTCGCGAAGCTCCTCGATAATCGATAACATCTCATTGTTATGTGCATTGTGACCGGCTTGACGCGAAGCCTCGAGCAGTCGAAGCCGATCTACGAGTTCGTTGGGATCGTTCCAATGAACATAATCAATCTTGTTGCTAGTTAATCTCATGGAGCTTGGTATGCCCTTTCCAACTTTTTTATCTTTCAATAATGGCTTGATTACATAGTTATACTTGTATCCTTTATTGCCTAATGTTTTACCATACGAATCATGTTTGTACTTATGCGCACTCGTGGTCAGCAGTATGTCCCTATATTTGCGTTCATCAGCCTCAGTATAAATGTTGTCATCTGGAATTTTCTTAAATATCAATTCATAAAGGCCGGGCGTACCAGAATATCGTATGCCATCGATAATTATGTTATCGGCATTGTCCACGTCAACACGTTTATTACCAAGCATCGGTCCATCACTGTCGAGATAAACACCGTACACATGATCCATACCATCCTTCACATCACCGCGTAATACAGGCGCGATGTATTTTTGCGAATGTCAACAAAAATTGGAAAAGGTCTATTAAATCGCGTTATAAACACACTTCCGATTGAATTACATACCCCTCCCAGCTTCATCAAGAGTGTGGTCCGGGAGACTTTCGAGAAACGCTTGGCGCGAGGCGATCAAGGTATAAATCCGCTGGATGTCGCGTGCAGCGAGCATGATAGGGCGTATTCACAAAATAACGATCTCGGAAAACGACACGCGGCCGACAACATCCTAGCAGCGAAAGCGCGAGAACGCATTACCGCGAGAGATTCCAGTCTCGGGGAAAAGGCTGCCGCTACAACCGTTTGGGCGGCTATGAAGGCTAAGACAAAATTCGGTATGGGTTTGAAAAAGAAAAAGAAGAGTGGTTCGAAGAAACGAATACTTCCAATGGCAAAACGTGGCGGTATCCTACCGATTTTACCATTATTGGGGGTTCTCGGCTCATTGGTCGGAGGGGCGGCAGGAGTCGCGAAGGCTGTGAACGATAAGAAGGCAATGCAGCGTCAGCTGGAAGAAATGAAACGTCACAATCTCGCCATGGAAGGTCATGGACTTTATCTCGCGCCGTACAAACGCGGGCGGGGAGTCTCAAAGAGAAAAAAAAACGTCAAAATTAAAATGCCTGAAGGCGTAACCACCAACATACAACTACAGCAACTCGCAAAGCGCATGCGTATTCCATATTTCAGAGGTATTTTTATGCGCAATACTTTACCAACAGATGGGGTACGCAGGAACGAGAGCGGAATCGTAAATTTGGATACTGTTGAAGGACCAGGTACTCATTGGGTGGCGTACGCAAAACGGGGAACATGTTCCATATATTTTGATAGTTTTGGCAATCTTCAGCCGCCGAGGGAACTGATACAATATTTGAAGAATAGCGTAATCGAGTATAATCACATGCCTTATCAGCGCTATAATCAAAGCAATTGTGGACAGCTATGTTTACAGTTTCTGCAGTCGGTTGACAATCAATTTAAGGGCAGTCATTGCTCACCTTAACTCCAGTATCCGTTTGAACATGTCGCTGACGTTAACGCTCACCGGTCAAAATAGCATTCTCGCAGTAAGCTATTTTCCAGCCATCGATTTGAGCAATGGTGATTACGAGCTCGGTCTTATGGACTTTGAGACTTATTACACTATACCGAATATAAATTTGTCGAATAATAAATTTTACTACGATAACGATGATAAGGAAATCATTATTCCCGAGGGATCTTATGAGCTGGACGACATTCGCATGTATTTGCAACGATCGCTTTCACAGGGTAATGAAGGGAACCCCCCCCATGATGCTTAGAGCCAACAACAATACGATGAAGAGCGAAATCAAGTGTGATTACAGCATAAATTTTACCAAACCCAATACTATCGGCTCGTTGCTGGGGTTTTCGACGAATCGGGTGCTACAACCGCGGAAATGGCACGAATCGGATGCACCAATCAATATAATGAACGTAAATATTATTCGCATTGAATGCAACGTGACGGCTGGTGCTTACAGCAATAACAAGTGCGTGCACACGATACATGAGTTTTCGCCTACCGTTCCACCTGGATATAAGATATCGGAAAGACCAGCACAGATCATTTACCTCCCAATCACTGCGCGAAGCATTTCGGATTTAACGATTCGCGTTGCGGATCAAGACGGTCAATTGCTCGATTTTCGAGGGGAACAGATCACCGTTCGACTGCATGTACGGAGACAACGGCTGTAGTAGGAGATGCTTGTGCTGAACGAAGCGGAGCAGGTGAAACAGACAACACGTGAAAACAAAGAGAAGACAATTCAATCGTCGGCGCACCTCACTGTATCGAATATTGACTGTCTAAAACCATCAGGCGAGAAGGCAATTCGATCACCCGCGAAACTCACCGCATCGAATATTGAATTTCTGAAATCGTTGGGTTTTGTTGTACGAAATGGCTAATATCTTAAACATTGGAGGCAAACCGATCTTTGACGACAGCATCGTCAAGATGGAGACTCATACGTACAACCCATACGCCAACACAACGTTTGGACACAGCGATGAGATACGAATACCTATACAACAGCAGGATTTATGCACGTTGCCAAGCGAGAGCTTTCTATACGTTGAAGGAAGATTCACAGTAAGGAAGCCAAACAAGGAGTTGGAAGCATATCTCGGAAATAATTGTGTTGCGTTTATGTTTGATGAAATTCGATATGAACTCAATGGTGTGGAGATCGATCGTAACAGAAACGTTGGAATAACAAGTACCATCAAAACCTTCGTGTCCTCAACATTTGATAAATCGTTAATTTTACGGAATGCAGGATGGGTCACACAGTCAAACATACCGACAGGTTACTTTAACTTTTGCGTACCGCTAAACATGTTGTTGGGTTTTTGCGAAGATTACAAGCGTATAGTAATCAATGCTCGTCATGAGCTCATTCTTATACGCGCTCGCAGCGATAACAACAGCGTCGTTGCAAATTCCGCGCTGGAGCCAGAGATCGAATTACTAAAGATACAGTGGCGAATGCCTCGCATTATACTGAACGATACGAATAAACTATCGATGTTGCGGATTTTGGAAAACGGGCAATACCTAAGCATGAGTTTTCGTTCGTGGGACCTGTACGAGTACCCATTATTGCAAAGTACAACTAAACATTCGTGGGCCGTTAAAACTGCAACTCAGCTGGAGAAACCGCGATACGTAATTTTTGCGCTGCAGACTGGTCGAAAGAACATCATGTCTCAAGATGCGAGCAACTTCGATGCATGTAACTTGACCAACGTGAAACTTTATCTAAACTCTGACTTTTATCCATACGATGACTTGAATCTCGATTTTGATAAAAACAGATATGCTATTCTTTTTGATATGTATGCACGTTTTCGTAAAGCTTATTACGGATACGACTGTTACGAAACGCATTGCAGCAGAGACAACTTTTCGTTGCATGGACCGTTCGTAGTAATCGATTGCTCGCGACAGAACGAATCAATCAAGAGCGCAACCGTAGATGTGCGAATAGAATTTGATTGTAAAGAAAACGTACCAACAAATACTACTGCGTATTGTCTTATTTTGCATGATCGCGTCGCCGAGTACTGTCCACTGTCCAACGTTGTGCGCAGAATCACATAAATTGCAGCATCAGCAATATCTGTAATATTTAAGAGCTGGGCACATCATATTGCGGTATAGTTTCAAAGATATTGTCGCGATGGTACCAACGTTTGTTGACATACAAGGATTCTTCCACAACGACAGCTTTGTGATAAAGGAAGTTGCTGTGCTGAGAAAAGGAAACATTCTCGCACACTATATATTTCAAGGACCATTTACTTGGAGTGCGTTGTCTGTAGCCGGTAAATCCCAGGCTGCTTGGGTGACGAAGAACGTCCATGGGTTGTCATGGAATGAGGATGGTTTCGTTCCACACCACGAGGCAAAAGAATTGATTACAGCGGCAGTTGTGGGTGACGATCCAAGTACTCTCGTGTATGTGAAAGGATCCCAAAAACGAGACTGGTTGGCAGATTTGGTGGAGGAACATGCGCCAATCGAGACCATGGATGCTGTGTATGAAGATATCGGTCGTTTAGAACAACTTGATAGTGATAATACATTTCGATGCAGCATCCATGAAAAGGATTGTTTTTTCCAAAAAAAAAGAAAGAGTTGCGCATTACAAAATGTATTCAAATTATATAATTGGTGGTTAAAAAATCAGAAATAAATGTATTTTTTTAAAGCAATTTACATCATTAAAAAGAGATCTAATTTCTTTCCCCTCCTTCGTAGCAATTTTATAAAATTATGAACTTTCAGAATACATCTTAAATTTTTTTTCTTTTTTAAACGTTTTTTTTGTAAGCTTCGAAAACAATTTATACAAGTTAATTAGCAATACGATGTTTGGTAAAACTATGGAAAATGTATGCAATCATGCCGATAAATATTGCTTTGAAAGTAGAGCAGAGAAACATAGATTTCAAAAAAGACATCTAATTTCTTTCCCCCTCCTTCGTAGCAATTTTATAAAATTATGAACTTTCGGAATACATCTTACGAATCTTTTTTAACGTTTTGCAAGCTTCAAAAAAATTTATATAAGTTAATGAAATGAGATGTGTGATGAGGGATGGGGGATATGTGGTGTGGTGACATTGATCATAGTACCATGTATGTAAATTATTTTTTTATTGCATAATATATATTAATAATTACATATTATAATTGGACGTACAGGTATTTGTATAGGTGGGGTATTTAATGCCGCTGTTACGCATGTTATGCAATTCTCAAAACTGGCCCTCGAATACGTCGGCTGTGGCATAGCCTACAGGTGGCCAGGGCATGGGCCCGTGCATATCCCGCCACTAGCATATGCACGGACCCTCGCCGATACTCCGCTGCTTCCTGTGGCGGAAGTGCGTAAAAGCACCCCCCGCAGATTCTGACTCCCTCATCCGTTGGAAACACATTCCTCCTCGCAAGCATGTACACTGTCTGATCAGGTGGTATACATCAGTAGGCAGCACCGCCTCCGCATATGTGCTGCTGCCGATGTTTCTATCATCGTAGGTGATGATTCCGGCTGTGGGATGAGAATGTTCATATTAGAATATTATGTTTTGAGGTTGTTAAAATATGGTACGGACTATTTTGATAAAAAATAAATTCTATCTGCTTACATACCAAGGTCCCACCTATCTGCAACCATTTTTTTCACTTTTTTTGTGTTTGTTAAAATAGGTGCGAGTTGTCGCTCTCACCCTTTAACGTTGAGTCCGAATTACGAGGGAGTGGGAATGTGTGGGAAAGTGAATCGGTACACTGTAAATTTCTTTCGCCTAGTCTGGTCGACTAGGCCGTTTATTTAAAAAATGTTTGATATTTAATAAAAAAAAACAAGATTAAATAAAACAAAAAGTGAAGAAATTTATAATTTTAAAATCGCCAGGAAAAACCGAGCCCGTTAGCGGGCTCGTAAAAAACCTGGCCGTGGTCTCTGGCCACTACGGCTCTCGTCTCGGTCGTCTGCAACAAAAAGAGACCGAAATTCGGCTGTAAATACTTGACAACGCTCGTCGCGTTGTCTGACTCGCTTCAATCCACGCGCTCCTTACTCTGTTTATGGTAAACAGGATGCGGGATTCTTACACAGCGTTAAGCAGCTGTATTAGTGGACTGTATTATTGAACGTTTCTCGTGTGATCGAGAAACGTTCGATTGCAGTATGGGAAGGCGAGATTCTAATCTCGATTTTTTCTGGACTGCAAAGTTTGATTATTGCAGGAGTGGACAACGGGCGGAGGTTGTAAGGCTCCGAATATTGTCTGCTCCGCGGTACTTCACCGTCTCCTGGTCCGTACGGGACCGGTGTGATGCAGTCCCTTAACTGCGCTAGAAGCGTCTATGTGTTAAGGTTCTTACACCACGGTGCCCTTTGAGCGTCGTTCTACGCCTAGTGTCCGTACACACTGGCGATCCACAAACCACGCTCGAGCAGGTCGAAGTCGGCTGGGAGTCCACCCAGGGAATACGCCAAAAGGCCCCTATGTGGGTGTGATCCCAAGCACTGACTTGACCTTGGAGGACGACGATTCCACCCAGGGTATATGCCACGAAGGCCCCTATAGGTGGGTGTTAGCACCGTGCAACAATCAATGGAGGATCGAGAAACTCTCTCGGTACCTCCTGCACGACCGCTTATGAAAACGGTACGTGTTTCTTTTGCACTTGCGTTTCGGAAACCACGTTCGTGCAGGTCGAAACCAGCTGGGAGCTCACCCAGGGTATATGCCACTAAGGCCCCTATGGGGGTGTTATCCTAAGCTCAGATTCGACCCTGGAACGGCGATCCCACCCAGGGTATTTCGCTACAAAGGCGCCCTATAGGTGGGTTTTTATCACCGTGCAACTGTGGTTTTAGTACACGACCGCTGATTACAGCGATACGTGTTTCCTACGCAACGGTGGCGATAATCAAACACTATTCGAGTGTTAATTGATTATATTCAGCCACCGATTGTTTCTTGGACAATTGCTCAAGGTTTGAGAAAATTCTACGCAACGGTGGCGAGAATCAAACACTATTCGAGTGTTAATTAGATTATTTTCAGCCACCGATTGCCTTTGTAAAATTACTCAGGTTTAGAGACAATTTTCCGTGTCCAAGTGGTTCGTTCACCGCAGAGATCGAGCTAAACGCACGAAACCGTGAGGTACGAAATTCGACTTGGCAAAATTCTTTCGAATTCGCAGCAGTCTTGCTATCGTTCCGTGTCGGTTCCGTGGTGCAACGATACAATTAGACGAATCTAACAGATCGTATATAGCGATCACGGTATTAGACAAAGTCGGCTCTAGAGGTCCGAACTCGTCGAGAACCAGAAAGCGAGTGATCGTAGAGACAGACCCTCTTGTGCGCGTTCGATAGAGGGGAGATTGTCTGTCTCGTATTAATCTTGTATCCTCTCTGTTATTTCGGCGTAGTAACAACTGTTCTCATGGAACCGTTACTGGGCCGATCGCGTGACTATGATTGAAGGTAAATTTGGATTTTTTCTACACGGTATTGCTCCCGAAGCAGGTTACGACGCAGAGAAGGCTCTGGAATGTCGCGAACACTGAGGACAACACCGTATAAGAAATGTCCCCTTTTTTCTATAGTGTTAGTTTTCGAAGGGGTTCAATAACTCAACTTACTCACATCTCCAATAACGATATGTATCATCTAGCAATATATTTCAATAAACAAAAACCTTACTTCTCCAATACGCACGCTCTTACACAGCGCACGCAACAACCTAACCTCTCTCACGTTCTAGCCCGCCTTACCGGCGCTGCCGTCGCACATACCCACATCTATATTCATCGCATAGATTTACTCTTATAATCTAACACACTTCCTTAAATCTATGCTTCAAAAACATCTAAATACGTTTAAACTACTCTTAGAGCTTGCCTTAGGGTTTCAAACTTATTTCTTCCTAAGGCTTTAGTCAGAATGTCTGCAATATTATTTTCTGACTCAACTTTAACAATTTCTATAATTCCCTTTTCATAACACTCATTGACAAAATGATAATGTACTTCAATGTATTTCGAATTTTTTGTTAAATTTCCAAACTTAGCAATAGCAATAGCACCAGAATTATCTTCTTAAATTTTCACAGGTTTGTTTGGTTTTAATTTAAAGTCTTCAAGCAGGTTTAAGATCACTCTGATCTCGCTGACTGAATCTGGCAAAGCTACATATTCGGCTGCAGTAGAGGATTTCGTTACACTTCCTTGCTTTCGCGATTTCCAATAGATTACATTTCCAAACACTCTAACTATATATCCTGTTGTAGACCTTCTATCAATTTTATCACCTGCCCAATCAGCATCAACAAAACAGTCAATGGTATCTACTTCTAAATTTCTTTGATAAGTTAACTTTAAGTCTCTTGTTAAATATAGATATTTCAATATTCTCAATGCGTATTTATAGTGCGATTCATCGTAACAGTTCTGAAATCGACTCAAATAATTTACACTATAACTAACATCTAATCTCGTATTTGCACTTATGTACAATAACGCTCCAATCAAATTTCTGTAATCCAAATCATTTGATGCTGACTGTGCTGGCTGTAAACTTAAAGTTTGTTCCATTGGTGTACTATACAATTTCGACTCAATAATGTTATACTTCCTAGCTAGTGACTCTATATAATCTTTCTGGTTTAACGTCATTTTAGATTTCTCGCGATCATAGTCGATGTTTATTCCTAGATACGTTTTGACTTCTCCTAGATTTTTCATACGGAATTTTTCAGATAGTTTGTTTATTATTTCATTCAGTCTCTCTATATTTCTCCCGCATATCAACAAGTCATCAACAAATAGGATTAAATAACTTGTATCATTTTTTCCGTTTTTTATATATAGACAGTAGTCATTCTCACTTCTTGCAAAACCTAATTTTCTCATATAATTATCAAAACATTCATACCACGCCTTTGGGCTCTCTCTCAAACCGTACAATGCTTTCCTTAATTTGCATGCTCTCCCGGTGTTATCCGCATATCCCAAAGGTTGTTTCACAAATACTTCTGATTTTACCTGGCCATTCAAAAATGCTGTTTCAACAT